ATTGGCGTAACATGCTAAAGTGTGTTTTCAAACTTACTACAGTTTAGACTAAACATAGTGGCGTGTGCCTGTAATCCCAGCACTTGGGAGGCTGAGGCAGGATGATTTCTTTTGAGATTGAGGCCAAAACCTTTCTTAAAAAAACAAGCTTGTTTCAAGTAGGTGCTTTAGACCACTGAGCCATCTCTCCAGCCCAAATAAAAAGATTTTTGAAACATTTTTTTACAAATTAAAAATATTTTTGGAGATAAGACAGCTAAGGTTTCACTTTTTTGAAAATAAGTGTGGCTTTTATTAGTCAACTACAGTCACAATACAGTCATCGTAGATATCCCCTTCTGTATTCATCCCACCAAACACAAAACACAGCAATGTGTCAGCCTGACATTCCTCATGTAAATCCCCCCTCTGGGTCACTTTGTCATTGGAATCTCCTTCCTCAGCTTCACAGTTCCATGTGACCGATTCTGAGTCTTTCTCAGCAGATGTCACTGGCCACGGAATGATACACATGCAGTGGTCCAATCGTCCAGGGGGTAGACGAGTATCAAATTTAAGTAAGGTCCAATGCTGTTTCTCTATAAGGGACAAAATGAGAAACAAAAAAGCTGATCTCTCTCCTCTCTCCTCTCCTCTCCCCTTCCATTCCCTCCCCTCCCCTCTCTTCTCTCTCTGCCTCTGCTGTCTATAAACCTTCCCTCTTTAACTTTGGGTGTTGAGCATTTTGTCTCAGTAATGAGAAAGTAAGAACACCAAGAGAAAGACATACTTTCACCCAAAATCATGAACAGAAATGTCAACAATAATGGTGATGCTAATTGCACCTTGGATTAGAAACAGTATGATGTATTCATATCACAGACTGCTCTGTAACAAGGATGGAAAACTATAGTTTCATACAACAACACGGTTTAGTCTTACAAATCTGGTGGCAAGAAAAGAAGCCACACACAAAAGTGTTTCATAGTAGTATTTATTTCTATAGGATTTCAAAAATAGGCAAAACTAATTCATCGCATGTTATGGGTTGTATCCCCCCACCACACTCATAGAGGGTGATTTTTTTGGAGGTGGCTATGAATATGGATTAAGAGTGATAACTACATCAGTCCACTGATAGGTTTAGCCAAGTTCTGGGTCTGAATAATGGCAAGCCCCCCCCTGGGTGTGGGTGGCACCAACCAATAGGCTTGTAGGCTGGATAGGATAAGGGGGAAAGGGAGATTCAGCAGTGCCGCCCACTGCTTGCTGCAAGTCTGCCATGGACTGCTTTGTCTCTGCTATTCTGCCCTGTCTTGGAGACAGCTGACTGACTAGAAACCTCTACAGACTGTGAACTAAAATAAATCTTTCCAACTTAGGAAAAAAGAAAATGAAAAAGAAAGAAAAAAAATCAGAAATGCTTTGTGCTTTACTAAATCAGCAGAGCACAATAAAAAGGAAAAAAAAAAAAAAAAAAAAAAGGAAAACCCTCACTGCCAGTGTTACTGCTTCAATAACTCATTCCCTAAAGTTTAGTTTTCATTCTTTTGGATTTAGACAAACTGAAAAGCCAAGGAAAGAGTACGTTTAAAGACCAGGAGTGACACTTGCTCACCTGTGTGATACCGGTACATGGTGTCCAGTGCCCCGGTGGCAGTCATCCCTCCAAAGACATACACATGTTTCCCCACAGCCGCGGCTGAGTGAGCAGCACACCCTGCTGGCATGGCACCTGTGGGGCTGAGCTGCTGCCACCTCATGTCACCTGTTGAAATTGGCGTAACATGCTAAAGTGTGTTTTCAAACTTACTACAGTTTAGACTAAACATAGTGGCGTGTGCCTGTAATCCCAGCACTTGGGAGGCTGAAAACAGGAGGTTGAAATCACTATGAGTCTGATCTATGTAATGAGACCCTGTACTAAATACATAAAAAAACAAAACAAAACTACCGTTTGCAAATCAGGCACTGAGTCATTCACTGGTTCTGGGAGGACACAGAGCAAGGTGTACACATGTTTTTGTATGGCTGGCTCAGCCTGGGTGCGGCTGGCGCAGCATGTGGTGCTGGGGATCGAACTGTGGTCCCTGCACTTTGCCTAAGCTTGCCTAAACAGGCACTTTAGACTGCTGAGCTAGCTCACTGGCCCACAAGGTGTACAAATTAGTTGGTGATGGTCATGGTGTCATCCCAGGTACTTGGGATGATAAGGTAGGAGGATCACAAATTCAAGCCCTGCTAGGGGTCGTGGCACATCTCTGTAATCCCAGCACTTGGGAGGCTGAGGCAGGATGATTTCTTTTGAGATTGAGGCCAAAACCTTTCTTAAAAAAATCAACAAAAAAATCCCCAAAACAAAAGCAAGTTTAAGCCCAAGCTAGCTAATTTAGCAACACACTGTCTTAAAAAAGGAGAGGTTGTTCTGGGTCAGCCGCATCACGACGTGTGGGGACTGTGTGGAGAAGGAGTATCCCAAAGGGGGTAATACCTGCCTGGAGAACAGATCTTTCTTACTGAACTTCACTGGCTGTGCAGTGTGCAATAAGCGGGATTTTATGCTGATCACAAACAAATCCCTAAAAGAGGAAGATGGAGAAGAAATAGTGACCTATGATCGTCTGTGTAAGAACTGTCATCACGTAGTGGCCAGGCATGAATACACATTCAGCATCATGGATGAATTTCAGGAATATACCATGCTGTGTCTGTTATGTGGCAAAGCTGAAGACACTATCAGTAGTCTCCCTGCTGACCCTTGAGAGATGACTCTGTTATTCTAAGACTCCTTCTCCAGTTCTGTTGTGTCTGTGTTGGGTTGGTTTAAAATACAGCAAGCCTGACAGTTTGTCTCATACAAAAAATAAAAAAGAAAAAAGGGCTGAATGGCTGGGTGTGGTGGCAAACCCATGTAATCTCAGCACTTGGGAAGCAGATGGGAGGCAGGAGGCTGGCTGTGAGTTTGAGTCCAGTCGGGGCTAGAAAGTGAGCTCAATCGTTTATGTACGTATGTATGTATGTACGTATGTATGTATGTATGTATGTATTTGGTACAGGGTCATGCTATACAGCTCAGACTCAGTGATCCTCCTGTCTCAGCCTCCCCAGCGCTGGGATTACAGGCATGCAATACCACACCAGGTTTGAGAGCCTTCAGGGTGTGCCTGGGGTTGGAACAGCATGCAGTATGGGGATCAAACTTGGGACCCTGCACTTGCCAGGCAGGCACTTAAACTGCCTAGCTATGAAAGAAAGGAGAGAGAGAGAAGAGAGAGAGGAGAGAGAGAGAGAGGAGAGGAGAGA